AAAACAAGATTTCAATCTGGATCGTCCAGGTCCAGTGGCACTAGCTCATCGCTAAATCAAGTAAAGAGCTAATTGGACTCGACTGATGGCATAGCAGTTAAGAGGATAAAGAAAAGTGAATCCAGTACATCGATCAGAATGAAAATGGATTAGTGATGCCCCAGCAGTCCCCAAGGAAATGGAACAACTTCTGCAGATGAGAATGGAGATACGAATGTAAGAGAGAAAAAAACCTAAAAACAAATATTATGTTAATTTCCGGAGCATCAAATGATATGTTTCAGAAAAAGTTAAATGTTTAAAGCAAAGTTTGCCTCTTTCGTGTTCTACCTTTCACTCCTCTGCTTGTTTTTGTATGAAATACATAGGTGCTGGAAAATAAAGTAGAAACATTTAACAAGGCAATTTAAATCGAGGCCTAGAAAGGCACATAGAGAAGTTGCAGCAATCGGAAGGAGATCTCTGCAATCCGTGATGGAATGGAGCATGATCAAAGGGTACTGTGCAACTATTCTACCAAGGGAGTTATAGTTGGTCATGCACTTTCAAAGAGGTGAAGCTTTTGCAATTTGCATGACCCTGAAAAAAAAGGCAGCCGGTGTACTAAGCTACCACTATGCGCGGGGTCCAGGAAAGGCCTGACCATAAGGTTACCCTACATTTCTGCAAGAAGCTATTTCCACGGCTCGAACCCGTGACCTCGTGGTCACATAGCAGGAACTTTACCAGCTACGCGAAAGCTCCCCTTCACAATTTGCATGACCCTGTTGTATTAAATTGTTCTACATAAAATGGACCAAATTTAAGCCATTTAACCACTGTCAGTGTGAGCTGTATACGTCATCGTGAAAGTGAGAACCTCAAACCTTATAGAATGGTTGAGCTTAGGCTCAGACCTGGTGCCTTTTCAGTGGTCAAATTTTGAAGGCTCATAATCTTGGTGAGCTTATATCATCTAGTACTATCTAGAACATTTATAAGAGTGAAGTTGAAAACATCTTCCGACACTTCTACAAGTCTTATCGGGCTTGTAATTCCACTGTACATGCTTTTGTTAACCCGAGCTGTAATCTTACCGTCCTCTTCATGTTTTTGCCAATGGAGAAATTGCATCTAAAAAACAGTTCTCCAACAGCTTATGTTGTAAGGAGGGAAAGGATGGTTTAGGAGAAAAGGGGGAAAATGATAGGAAAACTGTGACATTTTCCCTTCATGTTCATTAATTAAGTGTGCCCTCGGAGAAAAGTGTTTTCCTGCTATTTAAACTGTTGAGAATGAGGTTACTTGAAGTTAAATAGGCTAGAGTTAAACCTTAACTAGAGTTAGTGTAGATTGGTCACAAGTTAATTATGGTTAGGCCAATTAGTTAGTTAGAGACAGTTGTATTGTATATATATTGTAGCTTCCAAGTTCAGAGTAATTGAGCTCATTTTTCAGATTTCATCTCTGTAGTTCTGTTCTTCTCACCGATATTTTCTTCATCAGTATAATTCTAGGGCTCAATTCATAGAAACTAATATGGTATCAGAGCTTAGCGATCGCTAGCTAGATCTTCGTAACTCGATCATGTATCATATTCTTCATCAAGCTCATCAATGGCGAATGCAACGATTGACCACACAGAGCAGGAAAAGTTAAGCCACAACCACCCGCTGCACTTGCATGCCACTGATACTTCAGGTACTGTCCTAATTTCTCTCCAATTGACCGGACCGAAAAATTACTCCGTATGGAGCCGTGCAATGAGAATTGTGATCCTAGGAAGAAATAAACTAGGGTTTATTTACGGTACATGCAAAAAGGAGAATTACGGTCCAAAATTTGTTGATTTGTGGGATCGATGCAACGCAATTATCCTTTCATGGATTATGAATTGCGTATCAAAGGAATTATACAGTGGAATTGTGTACCCTTCAAGTGCTTCGGCAGTTTGGCTAGATCTGAAGGAACGATTTGATAAAATCGATTGTTCTAGGATATTCCAGATCCATAAGGAAATCGCTACTATTAGACAGGGAACCAGCTCTGTATCAGCTTATTTTTCAAAATTGCATCTGTTGTGGGCAGAATTTGACAGCTTAGCACCTGTTCCAGGATGTGATTGTGCTAAATCTAGAGAGTTTGTTGTCTTCATGGAAAGCTTGAAACTCTTACAGTTTCTTATGGGACTGAATGAATCGTATGAACAAGCAAGGAGTCAGCTGCTCATGATGGTTCCAGTACCTACAATCAACAAAGCTTATTCCATGTTAATGGAAAGAGAAAGTCAACACAGTATGACAAACAATTTGTGCACAAACGAAGGAGGAGAACTGACAGCCTTGATGACTATGAAGGGAGTATCAGGGCAAAGGCCAAGGAGAAATTTCTATCTGTACTGTGACTATTGAAAAATGAAAGGTCACACTCGTGAAGGATGTTATAAGCTGATAGGTTACCCCACAGACTTCAAGGTTAAGAAGAAAATTGGAGCCAATGCTACAACTCACAATGTTACAATTGAAGATCATAAAAGGCAGGACATAGGAGCAGGGAATATCAATGAAGCTGATAAGTGTTCCCCTGATGATGCTGTTCGAGGTCCATATTTCACACCAGAACAATATAATCAGATTCTCAAATTGCTGAGCAAGGACAATGTGGGTGAGACTTCAGCTAATATGGCAGGTAAAATCAAAGCATTTCGGTAAACTCAAATAAAAAGGAATGGATAATTGAGTCTGGAGCTACAAATCATATGGTTTCTGATGTGACTATGCTAAATAACAAACTTGAAGTAGAAAATTCTGATAAGAGAAAGGTACACTTACTTAACGGAGGAACAACAAACATATCGCATATTGGTACTTGCAGAATACTCCACAAGGAAATATTAGATAATGTCTTATATATTCCAGATTTTAACTACAATCTGCTGTCCATATCTAAAGTCACAAAAGCTTTATGTTGTTCAGTATGCTTCTTTCCACATTTTTGTATATTCCAGGACCTTTACAGTGGGAAGGTCAAGGGGATTGGTAGAGAAAGAGATGGACTATATTGGTTATCACAAACACCTACTGAGAAGGATGACATTAGAACTAAAGTGATGAATGCAATAAAAGAAAAAATAGACATTGAGCTTTGGCATAAAAGAATAGGCCATGCCTCAGTCAAAAGGCAATAAAGCAGCTATTGTGCTTGTCCCAAGAAGAATGTAAAAATGTAGTTGACAAATGTATGATCTGTCCTCTAGCAAGACATACCAGGTTACCTTTCAATCACAGTAATAGTAGAACTACTGAATCCTTTAATCTGTTGCTTATTGATGTATGGGGGCCCTACCCTGTACCAACTTTCAATGGAAATAAAATCTTCTTGACAATTGTTGATGATCATTCTAGAATGACCTGGTTATATTTGCCGAAACACAAGAGTGATGTTATTGTGGCACTAAAGAATTTTCTTAGAATGGTTCATACTCAATTTGGTAAGAATGTCAAAGTAATAAGATCTGATAATGGCACAGAATTTGTCAATTCAGATTGTTCTCAATTGTTTCAATCTTTGGGAATTATACATCAAAGGTCTTGTGTTTATACTCCTCAGCAAAATGGAGTAGTAGAGAGAAAACACAGACACATTTTAGAAGTGAGAAGAGCTGTAAGGTTTCAAGGAGGAATTTCTTTGAAGTATTGGGGTCATTGTGTGTTAGCAGCTGTGTACTTGATTAACAGAATGCCTTCTGTAGCACTGCAAGGAAAGACACCTTATGAGTTGTTTCATCACAAAAGGCCTAGTTTGGATCATTTAAGAATACTTGGATGCCTCTGTTTTGCAAAGAGACCAAATGTTCATGATAAGTTTGAAGCCAGAGCTATTGCATCAGTTATGATGGGATATTCAGAAGTAACCAAAGGATATATTTTGTTTGATCTAACTAATCATGTTTTCTTTGTGAACAAGGATGTAAGCTTTAAGGAAAATTTGTTCCTTTTTAAACATCAGAAGGATAATCAGTGTCCATTGTTTTGTCAAGATGACTTAGTTTCTTCTCAAATTCCTGATGTGGCACCTTATGATACTGGAATAGAAGACATTCCTACAGCACATAATGATGTAGTAGTTCCAACAGAAGCTGCAAGTGATTCCACACAAGTCGTTGCCAATGAATCCCTGCCAGATATGAGTCCTGAGCTTGATTCACAGCATGATGTGAGTCCAGATAGTTCAGTTCTCTCGACTCCTGCTGATTCAGAACCTTTGAGAAGATCAACTAGGGACAAAAAGGCTCCTAGTTGGATGACTGATTATGTGACAGCCAATGTCAACTATGATTATACATTGCCTTATCCTATGCATCATTCACTCAGTTATGCTAATGTACAACCCCATTACCAACAGTTCATAGCTGCTTTCACCTCTGTTGTGGAACCTAGAAACTTTCAGGAGGCTTGCAAGGATCCACTTTGGGTGGAAGCTATGAAAGGTAAAATAAAAGCCTTAGAAGATAACAGAACATGGCAGCTGGTCAGTCTACCACCAAGGAAGATGCCCATTGGAGCAAATGGGTGTTCAAAATCAAGCACAAGGCAGATGGCTCCATAGAGAGATATAAGTCAAGGCTTGTTGCTAAAGGTTACAATCAACAAGAGGGTATTGATTACAATGAAACATTCTCTCCAGTTGTGAAGATTGTGACTGTGAGATTTGTGCTTTCGATTGCTGCAACGGAAGGAAGGCATGTACATCAGATGGATGTATACATTGCCTTTCTTCAAGGTGATCTACCAGATGAGGTTTACATGCAATTGCCAGAGGGTTTTGCAAGCCAAGGGGAGAATACAATCTGTAGGCTTGTCAAATCCCTTTATGGATTGAAATAAGCAAGTCGACAATGGAACGTAAAATTAACAGAAGCCTTACAAGCACAAGGATTTACACAAAGCAGTCTAGACTACTCTTTATTCACACAGAAGCAGGGAAACAATATTGTGATTATTCTGGTGTATGTTGACGATATGTTGATCACTGGGAACAACCTCAAGATCATAGAAGAAACTAAGAAGAACCTGCATGCAGCCTTCAAGATGAAAGATCTTGGAGAGTTAAGGTACTTTCTTGGAATTGAGTTCAGCAGGTCGAGGAGAGGAATCTTAATGAATCAACGAAAGTATGCATTGGAACTCATTAGAGATTTAGGACCAAGTGCATCCAAACCATCCTACACTCCACTGGAGTACAATAAAAAACTTACTGATAAAAGGTTAGATGAGATTACAGGAGCTGAAGGTGATGACCTCTTAGAAGACAAGGGAAAATATAAGAGACTCATTGGTAAATTGCTCTATCTAACTCTGACCAGATTAGATATAGCATTTGCAGTCCAAATATTGAGTCAGTTCATGCAATAACCTAAAAGAAGTCATTGGGAAGCTGCACTAAAGATAGTGAGATATATCAAAAAGGATCCAGGATTGGGCATTTTGATGAGTAGTGAAAGAAACAATGTGCTAACAGCTTATTGTGATGCAGACTGGGCATCATGTCCCAACACAAGGAGATCAGTGACTGGATTTCTCATTAAGCATGGAAATTCAATCATATCATGGAAGTCAAAGAAGCAACACACAATCTCTAGAAGCTCAGCTGAAGTAGAATATAGAAGCATGGCGTGGACAGTTGCTGAACTAGTTTGGTTGGCAGGGTTATTCAAGAAACTTGGAACAGAGATGAAATTGCCAATCAACATATTCTGTGATAGCAAAGCAGCACTACAAATTGCAGCCAATCCAGTATATCATGAAAGAACTAAGCATATAGAAATAGATTGTCACTTTATAAGAGAGAAAATACAGCAAGGATTGATCAAAACGTAGCATGTGAATTCTAAGGATTAGCAAGCAGACATTCTGACCAAAGCATTTTTGAGATCACAGCATGAGTACTTATTGTCCAAGCTGGGAGTGGTCAATATTTTCACACCTACCAGCTTGAGGGGGAGTGTTGAGAATGAGGTTACTTGAAGTTAAATAGGCTAGAGTTAAACCTTAACTAGAGTTAGTGTAGATTGGTCACAAGTTAATTATGGTAAGGCCAATTAGTTAGTTAGAAGCAGTTGTATTGTATATATACCGTAGCTTCCAAGTTCAGAGTAATTGAGTTCATTTCTCAGATTTCATCTCTGTAATTCTATTCTTCTCACCGATATTTCCTTCATCGGTATAATTCTAGGGCTCAATTCATAGAAACTAATATAAACGAATCAAAGGAGTGAGAACTGAGAACTCTTTGAACTCTCTGTGTTCTCTTCTCATTTTTGAGAGAAGGTTTAGATTACTTTTATTACCACAGATGTATTTCTGATATACAGTGGATAGTAGCGGCGAGTTCCTCCAAGGGGCCGCTCTCTTTCTTTCCAATCCTCCATTGATGTTTCATAAAGAATTAAAACTTAATTAAAATCCATCTCAATAAATCCGATTGTCATTTGACTCCCAGCAATTTATATAAATAGTAGAAAAAACAAAAAGGCAGGCATCAAATTCAGTCAATTTCTGATTGCAATTATGAGGAAAAGGACGAGAAGTAGCGTCGATTGTGCAGTTGTGGATGTTTGGAAACGTGAAGTGGGTGCTCTCTCTACCAGAAACTTCACTCACCGTCTCGCTGCCTCTGAGGTACTACTCAAATTTCAATTTTTCGCTTGAAGTAGTATCGTGTATAGGTGAGGTTTTGGGTCTATTTTTTTCTGGTTGCATACTAAGTGTATAATTTAGGTATAATTAGTGTATAATCAATGTACAATGAATACACACAAATTATGCATCAATTATACACTGCATATCAAGTGTATAATGTGTATAAGCATCTGTATAATGGATTGAGATATGGTAGATGTTGAAGTATGAGAGACTCTCTAAATCCCATTGTTTCTCTTGATTTTTTTTTTCATTTTTGATATTTGTGTATAAGTCGTTCTACTCATTTCACCCATGGCAAAGTGATTTTTGAGAAACCATAAAATTTCGGGTTTTGGCTTTAATGGCAATGACGAAAAAGCTAGAAGCATTTATTTTGTATGAGAGGCTTTTGGAGTGGTGGAAGAAGCATGCTAAAGAGAATTGGCTAAAGTGTAATTGATTGAAAAGATTAAAAATCACTAACCATGAAGAGATAAAAGCTCTGTGGCATTGGCTGGAGTTCTTAGGACTTTAGGTAAAAAATGCTCTTGAAATTTGGTTGGTTACGGGAATTTTATTTTCTGATATACAGGGATTTTATTGGAGGATTTTATTTATTTGGCTACACTATTATACGGTTATGTGTAGTTTTATTTTGAGATTTTTACATTCCTATACACTATATGAAACTATATTACCTTCCCTAACTCAAGTTTTACTATAATTACATATTATATATCCAATTACCATTTATGTACATTTTAAGGAATTAATGATAATAATTAGTGTCCTAAAATCACTCTAACGTATCTTCCACTCCTCCACGTTTCTCTCTCCACATCCCACCCCCCTCCCCCCACGTATCTTACACAAGAGTACAGCAATTTCACCATTGACAACCATTAAAAAGTTTTGAAGTTTTGAATTCGAATTTGGGTTTTCAAAAAATATTATTTGTTTGAATTGGGTGTTGTTGCAAAGAATTGAGATTTCGCTCTATGTCTCTCTATCTGTCAATTCCTAATTTCAGTAATGTAAAGCAAAGAAAAAGAGAGCAGCAATTCCACCATTGACATCTATTAAAAAGAAGTTTTGAATTCGAAATTGGGTTTTCAAAAACCATTATTTGTTTGGATTGGATGTTGTTGCAAACAATTGAGAATATGGTTTGGAGTTTATATCTCAATTTTGAGGGCGTTTTGGTGAAGATTATACTTGATTTTGGCTGAATTTCATATTGAAACTCGAAAAAGAAGAAGAAGCAAGATATACATTTATATTTACGAAATTGTAGTAAAATTATAGTTGTATATATATATATATATATATTGTATCAAAGATGAACAATATTGTATAAAAATTATACAATATTGTATAAAAATCCACGTGGCAGGTGAGTGCACCCACACTTTTTACCACATCAGTATCCAGGGGGTACTGGCTCTCAAAAGGCCAAGTTGAGAGGGGTAATTAAGAACACGAATAGTTTAAGGCTGTAACTAATAATTCGTGTCAAGTATTTTGATAAGGTATTTTGCCAAATTTTAATATATCATTCGAATTTAAACGGTTAATCTAATAATAAATTCGGTTTCAATATGGCATTCTCTTCATTTTTGTCGTATACTGCGCACAGAGTATAGGTTAATATCCATATTTACAGAGGACACTAGAATTCATCACCTATAAAATGATTTTTGACACACTATAATTTAGATGACAAAAAAATCTCATAAATCACATTAATAATTGAAAAAAATATATCAAGTATGACATGAAATGAATGAGATTCCAGATTTGGGCCTGAGAATTAGAGAAATTCGGAATATTAGACGGTTAAAAATATTAAAAAGATAACGAAAATTGAGTATATCTTTTACCTTTTTAAAGAAATAAATACTTTTGGTAAAGGTTCTTTGTCCCAATCAGAATCTAAAAGTTACAATTAGGTAAAGTAGATTGCTTAGCTTATATGGAGCGTTGTTGTCCCGAAAAGTTCTTCTAGTGATTATAAATGGTGAATGTAGCAGCCATAGAAGCTGTCATCTATGGAGAAATTTGCAGAAGGGCTTAAGCTTAGCTTCAACTAACAGAAATGGAGAACAACAAGAGCAAAGGAGATCAAAAAACACAAGAAAAATAAAGAATTGAAGAGTCTGTCAGACAGCCATTAGACCATCCCAGCACCCATGGTTAGGGGCTGAGAGCGATCATCTACGACACCATAACCCGAGGGCCATGGGAGCTGTTAATCACGCTCTGGTCCAATGGCCATGTCTCATCAACCAGACTTAGTTTTCTGTCTCCTTAGAACGCAAGGATACAGTGGTACGAGCCTATAGAACAAATCCTGTTCAAGTAAGGTCGTGGACTTCATCTTCGCCATTCGTCCTTATAAATGGCTTCTCTGCTCTGTATACTGCCGATGTGGGAGAGAGTGTGTCGTTCTGCTTGTAAAACATGTGGAATTGAGTCAGCGTTCCAAGACGAGAAAGGGACGAAAGTAAGTGCTAAATTGCTTGTTTAAATAGCAAACCAGCAGTTTTTTTTCTTCCCGATTTGGAAGTTAGCTTTGATGAAGATTTGAGATAACTTTCCAATTCTTTTTGTACTTCGGATCTCTCCAATGCTAATAAAGAATTTGTATTTCCAGTTATAGTTTAAAGAACGGAAAAGGGTCAAATTTGCCCCTCTACTATAAGAAAAGGATTAAATTTACCCTCCGTTATACTATCGGTCTAAAACTACCCTTAATGTTATACTAGTGGATCAAATATACCCTCATCCGTTAGAGTTGTCCAAAATGAACAACCCAATCCCATGTGGCACTGACGTCTTGATGAGATGGACACCACGTGGCATGCCACTTCATCACCCCCAACCCATATCTTGTGGTAGGCGTACCACCCGATCCCATTTCATTATATCTCGTGGTAGACGTACCATCCGATCCCATTTCATTATATCTAGTGGTAGGCGTACCACACGATCCCATTTACAAGCCAACACAAAATCACAAGGAATCCCGGCAAGGGAACAGAAGCAACATAATAACTCCCCTATAAGGGAACAAAAATATCAAGACAAACATCCCGGCAAGGGAGAATCAACTATAACCAATCATAACTCAACTCCTACTCAGCTATACCCAAACTTGTTCCAACATCTAACTACCTCAGCTATACCCAAACTTGTTACAACACCTAACTACCTCAGCTATAACCATAATCCTTACCTAACACAAGGAATCGTCAATATAAGTATCTGTAATATCAATTAGGAACACAATACAAGGGAACCGCAACTCGACAATAGCCCGACAAGGGGGCAACATAATGATCTCTTCTCTTTCTCACTTTTACTTCACAATTCACTTCAGAACTCGAGCCACTGCTCTAGAGGTTCAATTATCACTTATACTTTCACAACTCGTTATACAACTGGAGCCAACGCTCCTCAACGTTCATAGATCACACTTCTTTTCACAACTTTGCACGACAATTATAAATTTTCACCAAGGCATGAATAACACAACGAAGTCATAAAAATCACAATATAAAACTCACGGTCATGCTCGACACCAACGTATAGATACTCGTTACCATGCCTATACGCCGTACTCAACAAGAAAACAAATAGCAAATAGGACACACTCCTAATCCCTCAAGCTAAGGTTAGACCAAACACTTACCTCAAACTTCCACGGCCAACTCAAGCCTCAAACGCCGCCTTTCCTTTCGAATTCGGCTCAAAATCAATCGTATCTATACATAATCGACTTTATAACATCAACAAACGCTAAACAATCCAATTCCAATGCCTAATTATAGCTTTCTAATCATTCTTCCCAAAAATCCAAAAATCGACCCCGGGCCCGCTTGGTCAAAACACGAGGTTCGAACCAAAATCCGATCTCCCATTCACCCACGAGCCCAAATATATAATTATTCCCAGAATTCGATCCCAAAACGAGGTCTAAATCACAATTAATTAAAAAGCCCTAACTCTACCCAAATCCCTAATTTTCTACCCTTAATCCCATGTTTTAGGCCTAGAAATCTAGTGGGTGTTGATAAAAATGGAAGATAACAAGTTAAAAATTACTTACCCAAGAGATTATGGTGAGGAAATGCTTCAAAAATCTCCTAAGAGCTTTGGAGAAGAAGAGGTTTATGAAATTTTATGAAAATCCCGTA